AAATAATTTTTGCTTCTCCATAATTATAAAAGTTTATTTTTAAACTTTTAACTATGAAATTTGGTTCTAAAAAAATTAAAAAAATACAACTTCAATAGCGTATCAGTTTTATTAAAAATACCAAAAAAAAAAATACCAGGATCGCCCCCGGGGGCGATCGGACAGTCTGGATCGCCCTGGGGGCGAGGTCAAAGCACGGTCAACGAGGTCAAACGCACGGTCAACAAGGTCAAATGCACGGTCAACGAGGAATGAACAGTAATTTTTTTATAAGAGTTAAGGGGGGATCTCCCCCATTGTGTACGGATAGCCCCCGGGGGCGATCCGGGGCGATCCGTGTGGTCATTCTAGCAAAACCTCTAAAATGTGGTTATTTTGTGGCAAAGGGTTGTGTAAACCGGTTATTTTTATAAATTTCCCTTTTATAAATGGTAATATTTAAATGTTGATTTAAATTAAAATTTTAAAAATTGAATATCGTTATTGGTTTCTCAGTTTATTAGTGGTGATAATATGAAAATAAAAAATTATTATATTCATTAATCCACGAAATCAGTAACAGATCCAAACAAAGATTCATGAACCGGTAAAAATATAATCAGCTGTGAAACAGATTCATGTTAGATTTGTTCATGAAAACATTCATTGAGGAGTTTGTTTTATGAAACGTATGAAGATTGGTTCGTGAAAACGTTTATTGAGGAGTTTGTTTTATGAAACTTTTGGGGATGAACTGGTTGCGTAATATAATATTCTTGCATAATCTTGTTTTCTTATCAACAATATTTGATGAAATTGTTTCATTCTGTTTTTTTTTTTGGATAATTTTGTTCACTTAATGGTTAACAAATCATGTAATGGTAAATGCATTGACTCTATGAAACGTGTTCGTATTGGAAGAAATTGGCTGATGAAATTGGTACATGAAGAAAGTGAAACAATTTCATAATTGATAAGAAAATGATGTGTAATTAGCGAATAGTGAAACCATTTCATTATTACGATGAAACGAATCCATCTACCAATAACAATGAAACCATTTCATAATTAGATTGAAACGGATCTATCTACCGAAAACTTGAAAATGACAAAGGTCTCATCTAACATTACGTTGATTTGTGTATTGATGAAACTGTAAAACCATTTCGTTCATGAAATGTAGTAGTAATTTCTTTTTATTATTCAAAAAATTTCATTATGTTAAATTGATTATAATGTGTTTTATTTTTATTGTTGATCTATTTTAATGATGAATGTTATTTTTTTATAACATTTGAACATAAAATTAATATATTATTTTACAAATGATTTTAATAGCTACGTGAAAAGATTTAGTATCATATAACTTACAACACAAGTCGTATTTATCAAAATAACAACCACTGCAAAATGACTGCACCTGTATTTCGAGATGGCCAAATGGGCCCGGCCTAATCCGGGACCGGTTTGGGACCGCCGGTTAAGGACCGTTTATGGTTTTCATCCAAAAACAAGTCCCGACCTGATTTTAAAAAAAAATGTATTTTTATATGTATTTCTAGCTTTCTAAATGTATTTGATTGAAAATCAAATTATAAATTTACAATAAAACATATTTTTTAAGTGTATTTGATTAAAAACCAATTATAAAACTACAATAAAACGTATTTTTTAATCGTATTTGATTGACCTAATTAGATATTTTAAAGTATATTAGAATAACATTAAAGTATTTTTAAAAATTTATCAAAAATAAATTTTAAAAAATATATAAAAAAAATGTTTTTATAATGTTGGACCAGTTTGGGCCCAGCTCGGGACTGGGACCGGTTACAAGTACCCTTAACTGGACCTTAGTATTTTTGACGGGACCGAGACCGGTTATGACTTATGAGCATCACTGTTCCAGCCCGGTACCGGTTTTTGGCCATCACTAACCTATAACACTGATTTCTCCTGCCTAGCCTGAGTCATCATCCTCTAAGTTTATTTTTCAAAGTCTTATTTACTTCTCAGTTCTCATCACCAAAATTTATATATGTACGTTTTGACCTTAAAACAAATTTTAAGTTATGGGCATTTTTGTCTTTTTTTTGTTATTTTGAAATAAATGACGGTAAATCAAAATTTTGTTGGTCTTTTTTTACGTTTTTATAAATTGAATGATCTGTTTGATACTTTTCGCAAATTTTGATGATTTTATTCTATATTTTTCAAATGATTAATGTAAAATAAAAAATATATTTTACTTGACGATATACAAATCAAACAAATATTTTCCCCCGATTCTTCAAATTACTGATATTTGGGGGTCCCGTGTATCAAACTCAGTTTATCATACCAAACCAATATACTGTTGTTCGGTATCAGTATTTGTTGCTTTAGG